ATGTCTTACAGTTGAAAACTGTATTGTAAGAAACCCAGAAAGCTGGTAGGGGGTGTGCTGGTCTGTACAAGATAAATTATCTAATCTTGTTCGATCTGTCAGTCATAACAATGCAATTGTGTAAGCCTCACTGAATGATTTAGATATTTTGAATCTAAGTCTGGCCCTTGGACTTATTCCATATCCTCAAGCGCACAAGTCTCCTGTTGACTTTGCTTTCGAAAAGGCAACCGGCCAAGCCATGGCACTGGAAGTAGCTGTTGAGCTCTATTGTCTGGGTTAGGGTTAATCACAGCAGCTTGCTTCTTTCAGTGCTGAATCATCAAGGGGAAAAAATGTAAGCTTGGCAGTAAAATATGTATGTGCTGCATTGTAGATTTTCAAGCTTGCCTTTGCAAATTAAAACCAGAAGGGTATATTATAGAGAGGGCTCAGAAAGCTTGAAAGTGCTTTTCTCTTCTTCAATAAGTTATTTTACCCATAATCTTAAATAGAAGCTGTGCTACTGAAAGGACTTTTGTAGCTCTGGTGGAATAGCTAGAGTACAAAAATAAACATTAAAAAATTGAAAAGGCTGTTCTGGGTCAGGAAGAAAAAGGTCTCTCTGTACCAACCTGTCTGCAGATGGAACTGTGAGAGAAGTTCCTCTCTTCCTCTGAGCCCAGGGAAGCCTCTGTTCAAAAAATGGAAGAGGTTTAGGCTCTTTCAAGCACAGAAGCAGCATCAACTGAAGCCTGCAAGTCAATCTGGAGATTTGAGAAACTCTGTATACCATTGCCTGTCATTCCTCCTACGAAAACGAGAAAGGGAGTGGCTGAACTCTTCTAGTTGGCATCGCCAGAGCTTTGACAAAATGAACCATAATGGGTGGGGAAGCAGATTTGGGGTCACGTCTGTGTGCAGAGACCCTGACCCGCGGGTGCAGGGCTCCAGGAGCAGGGTGTGCAGCTGCAGCTCAGGAGCTGGCCTGGGAGAGTTGCCGGTCGCCTGCTCTCCAGGCAGGCAGGCTCTGGCCCAGTTACGTGCATCCACACTTATTTATATAAGTACACGCACTGGAGAATTATCTTTGGCCCTTGCAGAGCCGCACCCTCCAAAACATATGCAAGCATTGGCATTAGGAAACATAGGAAAAGTCCAAACATCACATCAGCACACATACACATTTAAGACTTGGAATAAAGCAAGGTCTGGTATAAACCAGACCTTTTCTTTCTTGCTTTTATGTACATTAACTCCTGATAACCTGAAAGCTCGGGCTGCATCGCTCCTGGGTGTTTACATGGCAGAGCTATGGCTGATGTACGGCTCACGTGGCAGCTTGCAAAGGGGCTGTGGTGGGGAGAGGTGCTACAGTTTGGGCAGACATGCCTCTGAGATGGGAGAAGCAGCTGCAATAGACGTCTCTGGCAGAGAAAGACAGCATGGTGTGCTGCAAAAATGTGAGGCTTAGGATTAGGACCCAGGAGGAAGGAGTCAGTTTTGCTGCTAGTCAATGAGTGAGCCTTGGTAGTGCTGAGTTTGTGAGGGGCATCCTGGGCCAGTAGTAGTGCAAAAGCTTTATCCTGCACTGAAGAACCACCCCTGCTTGTCACATACTGAGATGAACAACTTCAGTTGCCATGGGAAAGGTTTATATGGATTTGGGTTCCTCATCTGAAAAATAAATCTATCCTCTTCAGTCAGTGTCTTTGTTAATGAAAAATAGCCATGTTGCTTAATAGGTTGCCTCTCCCTATAAGTACAGTAACAAATAACAAAGTGTAGAAGCCAGGTAGCAGACAGTCTGAAACCAGAGCTGTCTTTATCTCTCCTGTGCTAACATCGACTTCTGCTCACAAAACAATCCAGTCCTCTTGTGAACCCAGCTACAGCATAGGACTTAAGGAAATTTCGCGTGTCTCTCCCATCGGCTATCCATTGCTTCCTGACACCTCTCCTGGCCAGCTGGGCAGAAAGAGGCATCTGTTAAACACAGCAAGACTGCTGCTGCTCGGAGAGCCAGAGCAGGGGGAAGCAGCAGCACCATGCCCAGACCTCGCCTGCTGCATTTTCCCTTTGCTTTCCTCTGCTTGTTCCAGCATGTTGCCAGAATACCTTTTTGCTCCAGCTGAATAAGCAGAATACTGAGACACCATTGAGAACAGGTTTGTGCCACGTATCAAAGTGACTGATGGCTACAGCGCTCCTGCACAGTAATAGCGGTCTGGGAGATTGTGCGTGCCTCAGTTTCATTAGTTGATCAGTGCACGTTGGAAAGACAAACAAAAAGGACATTTGTAGTTTGGTCACAGAGCCTGCAGAGGGGAAATGCCTCTTACTTTTAAGGAAACGTGAGCAGTTGTAGAAAGACCATTCATACTCCCCAAACGAACCCATGAAGAGCTGTGCTCAGCACACATGACCCCCTAGTTTAAAATAATAGCTACAATACAGTCATTTTCTGCTGAGGATGGAAAAAAAAAAAAGTGTCCAATATTTCTTAGCCACCCTTCAAGGTAATGAGGGGATTCATTGCTAATGACCCTGGCGATAAGTGGAGATAGTATCACGCTCTTTGTTGGGACGTGTCTGAACTCAAGCCAGTCCCATCCACATTTGGAACATTTGGCAGGCTTCAGACTTGTGTCCAAGGCGTCACAAGTTGTTGTGGGTGTGATGGCATTAGGATATAAGACTATCCAGATTCAGGGAGGTAGTGGCATCCAATTTTATCTGCAGGATTAATTATTGGAGCTTTTACTAACAAGAGATCACTCCTTTCTCTTTCCCAGCTAGCATTGTACAAAATGCTATTCCTTGATTATCCCCAGATGTAAAACTACATGCAATATCTGGCTGAGATGAAGCCTTTTTAGAAATGCCTTGACCTTAATAACTAACTCACTGAGGGGATTGTGCCTAACTAAGGGAAACACTGAAATCCTATAACGGAAGGCACTGTAGATGAACCAGGTATTGTTTATTGCTATTAGCATAATGTACCAAGCCAGGAAAGGAGTGTGTATGGTTATAATTTTTTCCAGCTTGCTGCTAACCAGAACTTGCTGGTGTTGGAGATGGGCTGTTTCTGCTAGTTCTGATCCCTCGTTTATTTTATGAGGTAATGTGGATCAATGGCAGTTCATGATACAGACCCAGACTCATTTCCAATTAAATGTCTCACTTCAAGATAGAATTCCAGGGTTGATTTTGTTCTCATTATAATGTTTTTATTTTGGCTAAAGAATGATCAACTCATTAGCAATATATATGCAGATGATTACATTTAAACAAATATGCCAGGAGTAGAAGTTTAAACTTTCCTCAGTAGGAAAAAAAGAAAACATAATGAATTTGGTCTTATGAGGACAAATACTCAATTCACTGAGCAAGAAGCTAGATGCCTGTCCCCACAGTGAGAGTTAGAAGAAATAGCAACATAGTTAGATCCCCAGTACATCACAAGGAAAGCAGACCTGTTGGTGTTTAAACAGCTTGCACATAGTGACTTAGCTCCCATGAGGCACTGGTGAAAACAGCTCTGATGATACCTTGGTAGCAATATTTTTCTTTTGTTACCAGTATCAGAAACGGGCAATATAGAATCACTGGCTGAAGGAGCAAAAGAGGCCTCTCCTGGGTCATCCAACCACGTTCCTTCAAAATCTAGAGAGCTTCATTTAGTTGACCTAGTAAATAGAAAGCTAAGGGGATCTGATTGCTCTCTGCAAAAACACGATGAAGGCATGCACCAGGGAGCACAGAGAGCTATTTAAGCTAAAGGACAATGCTGGCACAACAACACATGGATATAAACGGGCCACGAATACTTTCAGGCAGGAAATTAAAAGGCAATTTCTAGCCATTAGAGGAGTGAGCTTTTGGAAAAGCTTTCCTGTGAGAGTAGTTGGGGAGGGAAATAATTAGTTTTAAGATGTTATTAAAAGGATTATAAAATGCAGTTTCTAGAGATAGGATGAAGTAGGATGGGGAAGAAATACATCCCCTCATATCCACCAAAGGCTTAATTGCTTTACAAGAAAGGTATGCCCAGCACTATGTGGGACCAATAGATTTGTTAGGGGAAGATCCAGAAGGCATCTTGGTGAAATTTCCTAGGCACCTAACTTACAGTCTTTAAGCAAGCCTAGAAATATTGTCCAGTTTTCAGGGCTGGGAAGCTCAACATCTTTTTCAAACATAGGCCTGATTTCTTACACAACCACCCTTCAGATATATTGCCAAGTCCTCCCTTTTAAAAATGGATCAAAGACCGGCTGGTCAGTGCGTTTGTCTGGCCATGCCCTGCGCCTGATCCCTGCAGTCTGTCCTGTTCTCTTATGAAGCTCCATTTCCAACTCTTTGCCTGGGTGAGGGTCTCTTTCTCTGTGTGGATGGGGGTGTATGGGGCTCCCCATGCCGGCAACTGGTGTAAGACCACGGGTCAGAGGGTTTGTGTGTCTTGTGTGTGCACAAGAGTGCATGTGCCTTGTGTATGTATGTCAGTCTGTGCAACTGCTGGCAAACACCAAGCTGAACTAGCAGTGGACAGGTCAAAAGGTTTGGGAGCTGGGTATTTGAGTGGCTGTGATCCTGGGCTGAGAGAGACCAGCATGTGTGTCAGTGCATGAGGCAACTGGGAAATCAGTGGATCCAGGGTCCAGCTACTGGGTAAACCGAGCCTAGGTACTGGGGGATCCAGTGTGGCTCAGCTGAGCTACTGAAGGGATGAACCTGTACTTCTTTTCCATCAATGGTCTTTCATCCTGATTAGCCAGAAAGGGGAACAGGATGATGCTTTTGGTGCTGGTTGTGTTTGCCTGTACTGTGTTTTTGTGTATGTATGTAATACGTGCCTGTTGGAAATACTTGCTTTTCCCTGGTATGGCTGGACCTCAGGACATAGAGCTGCAGCAGCCCCCGTGGGGCTACCAGATTGGACACTTCCTAACATGAAGGATGTACCACAGATACCTGCCCCATAATGTTTGGTTGTTTTTTTCCCTCTTTATTTGCAGGTCAATGCCAAACTGTACAGAAAGGTATGATGTGACTTTGTTCGCTGTCCTTGGAGAATCTCAAAACCTTAAGTATTTCTTCATTATTTCCTGACAAGTTTTCTAATGTTGGTGCTATTGTAGGTCTTGTTGCTCTTTCACACAATGTAGGATTTTGCTACTGTGATAATGGTATTTGTTACCAGCCAGAGACATTAGCAAGAGAAGGAGGCTCAAATGTAGGCCCATTAGTGTAATAGCCAGTAAATTTATGAAGAGACATCTCTCTACTCCCTTTTGACCTCTGAGCTGAGTGCGTTGAAGGTATTACCAACATTTGTCCTTCCTAAGACCTCTTAACCTGATTTCTTAAAATGTATTAGGTTTATGAGGATGTATGTGTAAGCACATTTATGGGCCACCTTGCCTGTGAGTCAAGTCCAAGAGTAACTTTTGACCTCTTTGGGCAATTTCAATCAAACTTCATAGAGGGGCTGCAGTTTCAGAGATATTAAAGTCTTATAAATTTTGTAGGGCCGAGCAGAGAGATATCTTACTGATACCTTCCCTCTACTGATATAGAAAAAAATCTATATGATCTTATACCTCATCAATGAATCCATAATAAAAGGCAAGGACAGAGGTGAGTGATATCACAAATACACTTTATTCAGGAATCTGAATTTTCCCTGTGTTAGACACCAGCAAATTAATACCTCGACAGAGGATTTTTCTCTCTTATGGATTCTCTGGTGTTTAATAAGCTCAAACTGTATTCTTAATTTAAATCAGATAAGATTTAACTGAGTATGAGACAGCCTTTCCTTTGGAAACCAGGCTTTATGAATTTTGGTGGTTTCCAAGCTATTTGTTAAATGAACTCCCATGTAGGCCCAGTACTCCAGTATTTTCTGGGCAGGGATTTGTCTTTTAATTGCTCTTCAGGTATTGAATTAACGAAATTCAATAGTGAGTCCAGAGGAGGCCACAAAGTTGATCAGAGGGCTGGAGCACCTCTCCTATGAGGACAGGCTGAGAGAGTTGGGGTTGTTCAGCCTGAGGAAGAGAAGGCTCTGGGGAGATCTAATTGCGGCCTTCCAGTACCTGAAAGGGCCTGCAGGAAAGATGGAGAAGCACTGTTTACAAGGGCATGGAGTGATAGGACATGGGGTAATGGGTTTAAACTGAAAGAGGGAGGGTTGATTTAGATTAGATATTAGAAAGAAATTCTTTACTGTTAGAGTGGTGAGGCACTGGAACAGGTTGCCCAGAGAGGTTGTGGATGCCCCATCCCTGGAAGTGTTCAAGGCCAGGTTGGATGGGGCTTTGGGCAACCTGGAACTAGATGATCTTTGAGGCCCCTTCCAATCCAAACCATTCTACGATTCTATGAAAATAAATCTTATTTTAGGAACAGTGCTTATCAATCAGATAACCCCTGATGCCCCATCAAATTGTCAGATACCATTTGAATTCTGAATGACATCTATTTGCATCAAACTGTTCACAATCAATCTCCAGACCAAGCATACTTTCCATCATCTTTCTATAAGTGGTGTTAGACATCAAATTCATTTGAGAGTCTTGCAAACTACCTCCAGTCTATCTATGAACAAAAAAAAAAAGTTCATTGAATGTATTATTTGTTATGTTGTCTTTGAACTAATCAGAGTATCAGTGAAGCAAGTTATTTTTCATATGTTCATCTCCTTTTCATAGCAAAATGCGTGGACATTGCCTTAAGTTCTTGTACTGATGTTGCCTATACTCAAACAATGTATCCTAATTTTCTGGATCAGAAGTCTCGAGAAGTGATTGAGTACAGCTCTGAGTACATCCTCATCAGTGTGCTGCACAACTTGCTCCAGGGAGAATGCAATCCAGACCTGAGGCTCCTGGGTTGCTCGGTGCTGGCACCACAGTGTGAAAAGGACAAAGTTATAAAGCCCTGCAGGCATGTCTGTGACAACCTGAAAAAAAATTGCCTCCCTGCCTTTGATGCAATAGACATGGCTTGGCCCTACTTCTTAGACTGCGACCGCTTTTTTGCTGGGGAAGAAGAGGGATGTTTTGACCCGCTGGCAAAGCTGCGAGGTAAGGAAGGAAGGTCTACTGACACATCTTACTCGTCTAGATGGGAAGGGTCTCATCTCACTCAGCTTGACATGTCTATGGCATAAAACCTCTCCGCTTGTCATCTCAGCTTGTCGTCTTTATAAACACCTGTAAGGTGTGATTCATTTTGTTCCATCTATTTTAAACACTTAATTAAACTGTGCTCAAGAAGCATCCATTTCTCTCATTCATATACAAAGAGCATCAAGATAGGCAGCTCAGAGCTAGATGTTTGGTCTGCTAGTGTGCATTTAGACAGGCCCTGCCCTGTGTGATAGCTGTCTGTATAATTGAAATATTTTATTTAAAAACTGAAACTTTAATGCACTCATAAATTCATGACTACTTGACAAGCTTAACAGATCATTAAAATAATCTCATTAATGACTGTCACAGATTTTTGTTTGGACAAAGAAGATCCAGATAGCTGAAGACAGCTGAATCTCATAAAAAAATAAATCTAATCCACCAGATTCAAAGGGAAAAATCTATATGTTTTGTGACTAAAATGTGCTAAGCATGCCAAAGGCCAAATTATAACTGGAGGTTGCAGCAAATACAGTGTGCAAATGCATTAGTATGATTTTACAAACAAAATATGCCACAATAAACAGTCTAGGATGTACTACATAGACTTAAGGTTTTGATTGCTGCTGTATTTTCTGTAATTCTACTACTGAAAAAGGTATTTTGCAGAAAAGTGCAGGCATTCATACAGTCCTTGGAGTACCATGGTTTTAAACATTGTGTGATAATTTTTCTTTGCAGGAGAAGTAGATGTTGAGGAAGATTTGACTTCAGACTTGCCGGCAACTTTTATTCAGTTCAAACACCATTCATATTCCCAAATGGTGAGCACGTTGAAGAAGACTGCTTCTAAGTGCTCCCATATTGCAACAACTTACAGCATAGGTCGCAGTTTTGATGGGAAGGATCTTTTTGTGATTGAGTTTTCAACCAAGCCTGGACACCATGAACTGCGTGAGTTATATCAGTGTTGATCAGGTTGCTTGAGGGAAGTCTGGACTATCCGAGTGAAAACAGGTCCTTGTAACAGGGTATCACTTAAACTGTGAGAAGCATCGATTCAAAACCATTTCTCCTCCTTTGTGTTCCTGAATTACAGTGATAGCTGATGATTCACTGTAGCAATTACAGTCCAGTTGTAATTTCCTAACTTTTATGATCTCCTTTTAAGGCCATGGTTGACGTTTCTTGTTCCTAGATGTATGACCGTGTACTTGGTTGCAGTGATATGGCTATTATTTATTTGTGCCCAGCATACAAAGAAGTTGAGAAAGTTTTCTGTTACTGACCTGCCCTCTCCATCATCAACCACTTCCTCAGCCTCCTTTTATTTATCACTGTACCATCAAAACCTACACACTTCCTGTCCCTCGTCTAAACATAGTTCTTCAGATCCCAAAATACATACAACTTATAAGAAGGCCTTAGATATAGAAGGACATTGACATCAAAAAAGGGCGATGCGGCACAGAAAACAATCCTCCTGAACAGCGACTGAGGGCAGTCCAATACCTGTCAGTGTAACAGCTGAATGATACCAGGAATTTATGTTACCATAGTGCCTTTAGGATATGAGTCTTCACAACTTGTCTGCAAAGGGGAACAGTGCTGATCTCTATTTTGTAGATTCATCACTGAGACAGCAAGGGCCAGATTTTTAAATGTTCTAAATTCTTCAAAACGTAGACCATTTTCTTGGGGAGTATTAGGTATTATTTTCCAGTTACCAGCTCCCAGCTCTGATATAGTACCTGATTAAATCTGGTGGACAGCTGTGGCCATCGCTGCATACCAAGAGCCTCAGGTTGCTTCTCATCAGACTAGCTCCAGCATCAAAACAGCCTCAGCAGCATAATAGATCTGAACTACATCTGAGTTAATACTTTATTGAGATGACCATCTCAGGTCAAGCTAATGTGTCCTCTGTGTGCTACACTACAGGAGAGGCAGAGAGGACAGCGAAGACTGGTGTTAGCTCTGTTTACTCTTGGCTACAGTGCCTTGCATGGTGTAGAGGTATTTTGAGGTGCCTTTAAACTTAATGAAGATCCCAGTAGACAACTTTAACAGAGCAAAGTTCTACATTACTATTTCATGCCCTATCATCCTTCTTCTCTTGTGTAAAGAAAAGAAGTTGCAGGTGTCTTTTTAAGCTGATACTCCATTTGCCAGGAAAACACAAAGCCTATGAATCAGGCTTTTAAATTAAAACTGTGATATGGCATGATAAAAGATGGTAGTTTAACACGTTACCTATCATTTCCTTCTAAGTCTGTTGCTTCATGCTGCTCAGGACAGCATAAACGAGGGTGGAAATTGCTTTTGAGCCGGAGATTTTGCCAGCCTGAGCAAGCTGGCATAATAGCTCTGTGCCAGCCCTCCTCCAGTGTCTAGTGCTTGAGGCAGCCAGGATCAAAGACAAAGATGAAGGGATAGACAGAAAAAGGTGTCTCCAAAATGCATCTATTTTCTACTTTCCATTAGTCTCTAAGGAAGGATGGAAATTGAGAGAATAACTGCGGGGAATTGTGAAGTTATATGTTTCTAATAGTCTCATTGCAAGGCTATTTAGCCTAAAAGCCACTTTTCATGCACGACCTAATTTCTGTTCCAAATAGAGGGGTAATATATTACACATCTGCAGGTCATTTCTAGGATCTGTGACAATATGAGTCATTGAAGGTGCCCAAGGAAAGTGAGAGTGCCAGGGGTGTATTTTGTTCCTTCCCAGCCATGGCTTGACAGTTTTGTTTGCAGCATTCTTTGTTCACAATAATGGTGAGTCCAGCAAAAGCTCAGAGCAACGATTGCCTCCTATGGTTTGGGATCCTGAAAGTATGGACTTACTTTATTTCACACTATTTAAATTGTCACTGAACTGACTTGTAATGGAGGGAAATTCACCTGGAACTGGTGTGCTATTTACAGGAACGTATGCATTAAATTAGTGTAAATAAAACTTTCTGACTCATCAGAAAGCTATTTGGGTTACTTTGCTTTTGGAAACCATCCAGGCATAATCAAATTAAAGCATCTCATTACTTCATATTCCACAGTCAAGCCAGAATTTAAGTACATTGGCAATATGCATGGAAACGAAGTTGTGGGGAAAGAACTGCTAATATACCTTGCACAGTATCTGTGCTCAGAGTATCTTCTGGGTAATCCTCGCATCCAGACCTTGATTAATAACACCAGAATTCATCTCCTACCTTCACTCAACCCTGATGGCTATGAACTGGCTGCAGAAGAGGTAAAAGCCTTTTTTTATAAGGAAATGTTCAGTGCTTCATGTTTCTAAAATTCCCCATCAGAAAGGACAAACTGGGAGGGGAGTGTCACATATGGGAGGGAGTGTTAATGATCAGCAGCCAGAATCCCAGGCTGGTTTGGTGACAGGTTGCTTTCCAAAGGCGACGTGAACAGAGCTAAGAGGAAATCGGAGCCATGTTTGTCATTTTTGCTCCCTGCATGTGATGACGTGAGAATGACTGTTACTTTTTCACACATTTAGCACTCTCCGCTGTCAGTTCTAGAACAAAATGCCCACTGACTCACTTTAATGACTGTTAAATTATTTTATAAGGAAATGCAGTTTAATACCATGGAATAGATAGTGTTCCTCTTGTAAAAGAGCAGGTATAATAAAATGTGAATATTTTCTCTATTATCATGCTTTCACAATGGATGGCAGTTTTCAGAGATCAGCTGGTGTCTGAAGGGGATCTGTGAAAGCAAAACTTCTATTATATGTTACCTGACATTCTTCTTTTCACCTCACTTTTATCGCTAGCACCATTAGCATGAAAATAGGACCTTTCTTTTTCTGCTTTGCTCATGTGGTGAGCTCTGTCTGTTGCTTGAGTCTGGGATTATTGCATCCTGCCTGATCTTGTCTTGAAGCGTCAGCTGTATTTTCATTTTCTCCTCCTGTAACTCACTCTGCATGCTGCTCTGTGCTGAGTAAGAAACTGCTGTGTTCCTCTCATGAGTCACATCAGTGGTGAGTGAAATGCTTCCTGCATGCTAGTTAGTGCGTTAGTGATCATGGGCATAAAAATTATTAATAAGTGTCATTTTTTAACAGTTTAGACATCTTTAGTTTACTTCTTTTAAAACTTCCCCTTGATTAAAATGGCATTTTAAACAATTTCCACAAAGTGGTATTTTGAGACAGGAAGTTATTCTGAGGTTGGCTTCTCTGTTATAAATTAGGGAGCTGGTTACAATGGATGGGTCATCGGACGACAGACAGCTCAGAACTTGGACCTGAACAGAAATTTCCCTGATTTGACATCTGAGGCTTACAGAAGAGCTGGGATTCGTGGGGCTCGCCTTGACCACATCCCCATTCCACAATCCTACTGGTGGGGTAAGGTATGAATTACAGATTTTATAAATCACATATACTACAGAGCAACTCAGCAATTAAAATCCTGAGATTGCTTGGTCTCTGGTAATCAGGTTTTATAAGTAGGACTAAACTGGACAGGCTCAGAAATGGCATGAAAAATCATGATGCAGGTCTGGCCAAAGAGGCAGGTGTCACAAATCATTAGGAAAATTTGTGGATAATTTGGATTTTGCAGTTTATATTAAGAATAATGACTGTTAGGAGGGGGTCACAAGTGTGTAATGATTCATCATTCGTGATTTAAACTGCAGTAGTATGTTAAAAGGCCTCTTATGGACTTGGCTCTCATTGCACTAAGCTCTGCACAGGTTTGATGCAATAGTGGTTTCTGCCTTGGAAAAAGTAGAAAGGCTTCATGTGGCCGGCAGGACTAGGGCAGTGATAGTCCCCCTGCACTCAGCACTGGTGAGGCCGCACCTCGAGTACTGTGTTCAGTTTTGGGCCCCTCACTACAAGAAGGACATTGAGGTGCTGGAGCATGTCCAGAGAAGGGCAACGAAGCTGATGAAGGGTCTGGAGCACAGGTGTTATGAGGAGCGGCTGAGGGAACCGGGGTTGTTTAGCCTGGAGAAAAGGAGGCTGAGGGGAGACCTTCTCACTCTCTACAACTACCTGAAAGGAGGTTGTAGCCAGGTGGGTGTAGTAACAAGCACTAGGATGAGAGGAAATGGCCTCAAATTGCTCCAGGGGAGGTTTAGATTGGATATCAGGAAAAATTTCTTGACTGAAAGGATTATCAATCATTGGAACGGGCTACCCAGGGAAGTGGTTGAGTCACCATCCCTGGAGGTATTTAAAAGACGAGTAGATGTGGCGCTTAGGGTCATGATTTAGTGATGGACTTGGCAGTGTTAGGTTAACGGTTGGACTTGATGATCTTAAAGGTCTCTTCCAACCAAAATGATTCTATGATTCTATGATTCTAAGTTGTGGGGCATCAGCTTTCCACAAAAAGGATGGTTATAATTGACAGTAACCAGCTGGAGCAATGGAAACAGCCTGTCAGATTGCAGTGGTGCTGGAAGGGACAGTTGCTGCCTCCAGTCCCAGGGAGCAGGACGGAGGCAGAACTGCAGGGCCTCGCACTCATCATCACTAGGCTTCATGTTATGTGTTCTCCAGGAATGCAAAGGTCAGTCCTACCTTTGTTGCTGGCAGTCTAGCAGCCCGTGATGCTTGCAACTTGCATGGGAACTTAGTTCCCTTAAAAGACGAAACTCAGGAAGCCAAATCAATAGTTCTGATATTGGGAGCTCTGCTTTTCTGCTGCTTTTAAACTCATTTTATTCTAATTCCATTTTCATTGCTAGTCCAAAGCTTCAGACAGGTGGGGAACAGGATTGTTTCAGCAGCTGCTGTATTAGCAGAAGATTTGAGAGACCGTACTTCAGTATTCTACTCTGCTGCAGGTGATCTCATATGAGGCGAGGTCTAAATCCCAAAGGCATCTCTGATGCTGCCCCAGTGTTTTGGTACCCCATTTCACAGTACTGAAAACTGGATACAAGCACCCCACTTCCTCAGGGTAATGTGCATATGAAGATGCAAGGCTGTGAAAGCTCAGTAATGCATTAGACCATTGCTTTTTGACATAACTAATCTCAAGAAGTTTATTCTTTTTTATGCATGTAATTGTAGAGATCCCAGCTCAGATTCCTACATGAGTATAAGGTCACAAGCTCAATAGTTTCCAACTTTTGACTGAATAATGACAAATAACAGTGAGCTGGTAAATGCAAGTAGAGTACAGAGCCTCAGATAGGAAAGAAGGGTTGAGAGCATGTGAAGCAGAGTTTGAGGTCAAATGAAAAAAGATGGGAAAAAAAGTGATTTTAGGAGAAAAGTCTAGAGAGAGAATAGTTTTGATTCACCCTACTTGTGTATAATAGTTTTCATAGCTGTATATCTAAAAACCATGTGTAGATACCAAACTGAAAGTTTTCTTCAACAAATGAACAGTGTATGAACGGATATGAAAAATCTCAGGAGCAGGGTTAGGCCCAGTCTTGCAGATACCTAGTCTGAAACCACATTGTTTGCAGAGAGGACCTGAGCTGTGAGCTCTGAGCTCGATGTATATGGAGTCTTTCCTGGTGTCCCAGTGGGTTTGCTTTCCCATGTAGGACTGAGGCTTGAAGCCACCCCTGTTCTCTTTTTAGGAAACCCTCTTCCTCATCCTCTAAAGCTGGGACTTCGGCTGGGGATGCCTTTGTTTCACAGCAGTTCTCTGAAGATGGCTCACTTTAGTTCAGTATCTGTCATCCTATTCCCATAGGGCAAAACAAGATTATTCAGTTACCAGGAACATGCCAGCTTTTGTAACATAAAGTTTACTCAGAAGAATATGCTAAATCAAAAATATATAACAAAATAACAGTCATTACGAACATATATATATGTTTCTAACTTAGTGGGAGTCACTGTGCTATTTCAGACCCTCTTGCAGAGCCCATCTTCAGCCCATCTTGGTCATAGCTTCTCACTGGGTTCCTGATTTGAGAGCAAGTGTTGTCTTGCTCTCAACCTGGTCAAAGTTGGCTGTTCCATGCAATTGCAGGTCTGTTACCTGCCAAGCTTTTTGACCCACATCAATGTATGTGCTTTCCTGGGGGAGATGTTACAGGGAGATGTTCCCTGTCTTGGGAACATGAACTCGCAGCCACTTACTTACTTCAGTTCTTGCCGAGGTTGTATAGCTCAGCCACCAAGCACTGTCACCAGCCTGTCCATGAAGATATGGCTGTTGAGTCAAATTGTGTCTGCAACTTCTCACTTACCAGACAGGGTCCTTTCTTTGCATGGCCCTTTGCAGAATCAGTAGTGAGGGTCCCAGTCTCCTGAGACTTCTTTCATGGGCTGCATTGTCCCCTGAGGTATGTGCGGACAGGCTAGAGGAGTGCCTGGCATGCCTAAAAAAGTCATTGAAAACACCTTTGGTTTTCTGAGGAGGTGTCCAGGAAAGCTGCTTTTGCCCTTTCGAACTGGATGTAGTGGCTGCACAGCAGACTTTGAGGTATGAAGGAAAGGATGGAGATCTCCCTTCAGCCATGTACTCACTCTCTCTCTGCATCCAGAGGTCCAGGGTTGAAGACCCAAGCACCACTGAGGCAGGACAAATGTGGCTTTGACCCCTCTTTGTGCCAGTGCCTGGTGCAAGCTGTGAGCTTGTCTCACACTGTGCAGCCCAGAGTCCCCATAACTCTCTGAATTTTCTGGGTCTAAACTCCCTGCTCCCTCTTCTGAGTCCTGCTTCTGCCCTGGTCTTTGGGATGGTCAGTGGTAGGAAGCCACTTGCAGAAGTCATTTTTACAACCATGTAGTTAGCTTTCTTAGATGCTGTATGATATCACAGCAGTTTATAGAGGGCTGGATGGAGACAGCCTAACATTTCTCCCACAGTTACCCCCACTCCTGTGGTCAGCTCTGCCCCAGCTGCAGCGTGCTGGTCACCCTGGAGTCTCTGTCACCACAACAAGGGAACAGAAAGCCTTGGCACACCATCACCCTCTGTCTGAGCTCTGCCTCAGTGGGTGCAGACCCAGGGTTATAAACACATCCCTTCTGCTGCATACATTTTATTGGTTTTTAAGAAGAAATTGAAATAAGGTGATGGTCCAATGATTCATTCCTCAGAGCACCAAACTTCAGGGAAGCTCTAGATGTCCTCCTGACCTCAAAGTAGGTCCTGACCTAAACAACACCCAAAGTGGCTCCAAATCTATATGCTTTGCAGAACAAAGGAGGGAAACAATTTGCCTGTGACCTGCATGGCACCACAAAATCTCCTTGATGACTGCTGTTTCACGTGGTTCAGAAACCTGGCAGTAAGCAGCCTCACAGCCTCGAGTCCCTTTCCTCCGCTGGTGGTATCACAGGACAGCCAAATCAGCTCTCCCGTAATGAGCTTCAATTTTGTCAGGCAGATGAACCCGTGGCTCTTACAGTACTCAGCTTTGTGCATGCAAAAACATTAGATTGGATGTTTCAACACCAGCCTCTCAGCTTTCATTTACTTAATAGTGTTTATTACCTGCCTTATTAAAGTAATTATCTGAGTATTGCAGGGCATTGTATAAAGATCAGAAAATGGAGAGTGAGCTCCCAGCCAATCCCATAAACTCAGGAGAGCTCCTGTCTCCCCGTAACCCTTGCTGTACAGCACGTTTTGTTCCCCACTATTATGAATTATTTTAATAAGTGGTCTGAGAGCTTAGACTGAGAGACTTCAGGCTTCATCTGAAATGAAGTCAGTTAAATTGGCTTGAGTCAAACAGAATTTGGAAGTCTGTGCTAGTGGAGGTTGGCATAGTCTTTAGGAAAATGAGTCTGGTTGCTTCTAAAAGGGAAAAAAGAAATCTTTGAAAGCCATGGAGACAGTGACTAATTGCAGTATAATTAACAGAAATGAGATTCAGGTTTAAAAAGGGTAGTGGCCATTCCCTGTACTTATGCAGAAATAATTTAGCTGTTTTCTAATTGTGCCCCAAATTGTTCTTGTAAGATGGATACTTTAAAATTGATCTCCTCTGACTTAAAAGCAAGAGCCCTGGTGAAAAAAAAAAAAATCAAAACCCACAAACCCACATTAAAGGAAAAGTCTATGAATAGTCAAAGGCCAGAATGACACAGATAGCATCTGATATCATCCGGTGGAGCTGAACCAGGATGTGCACATTTCAAAGCCTTAATCACTGTAAATGATGTCACTGAAATGCTATTAGGATAAAAATAGTGACATTGAAACTCCTGATTTTCCACAACATTCGCTTCAATAAGACATTGGCTCTGTGACACAGCGGTGTCCTGCGGGTTGTGCAGGTATCTAGTGAGCAAGTCGGCTAATCGGGGGAAGGACTGAATTTAAGAGCTCTCTGAGGAAAACCGTGCATTTCACCCTTGCCCACTGAATTGCAGAAGCAAGTTAAAATTCTTCTTGTTGAGGCCTGAGACTCCTGTTTGAAAGCGGGGCTGATTCTGGCATCAGGCATGCCCTGTCTGCCTGGGCAGCAGCAGCTGGGGCAGCTGCAGGCAGCGCCGGGAGCTGCAGAGAGTTTGGGGCAGCACCCTCCTGGGGACTGCTGGTGCTGCGGGGCTTGGAGGATGCAGGCTTGTTGCCAGCTCCTCAGCCACCCTGTGAACCCCCAAGCAGGGGCCCGTGGGGCAGGCAGTGCCACTCACAGCCCTTACAAGCTGCCTGGGGTCTTCTGTTCTTCAGAAGAGATGGGCTCAAAGGATGAACAAAGTGCTTTCAGGGTTCAGGTGAGAGTGGCTGGTTCAGTCCCAAATTTCCTCAGCATGAAGATCATTATCAGACCATCCTAGGGCACTCTCACCTCTGTATGAGTGGGTGTGTGAGACTGCAAAAAGTGCAGAGCATTTGTCCTTTTTTTTTTGAGTCCCCTTTATCTGCCTTTTTAGAAATGTTTTCCAGGTCATGCCCTTCCTAGAAATTCTGTGTGTAATTGTCCCTATATATACACAAAACCCCTTGGTTCGCTTTCTGATGTGCAACATGCATTCTGTGTGTTCCTGAGTTGGTCAGACTTTACTTGTTACGTATATCGTCTTATATTTAAGTTGCTTCTGTACAACACTGAGGTTGAAAGGCTTGCGTACTGAACAAAAAGGTTTGCAACACGGAGATTCAGAGGCCACCCCTGGGTTGATAGATAAAATGGACCTGGTTTGTTTTGCCTGAGAACATGTGGCACAATCTGCCTGGTGTCCATGTGCTAGCCACAAACCACTGATTTAATGATTCACCTTACAGCAGTGGGAACCCTACGGTTCCTATTTCTTCCCAAGTACAAGGTACAGCCTTTTCAAATAGCACAGCTGCAGTGGCTGGAGGCACTAGTTCAGCTCAACAACTACAGAATGGCATTTTAAGAAAACTTGAAAACTAGGAGGACTCAGTTAATAACTACCGCATTGGAAGGGAGGTAGCCTCCTGCCTAGGTCAGGAATGGGCAGGGTGATATCTTCTTCAATCATTCCAGATAAAACTGTATTTAGACATGCCTTTTCCCCGAGATGCTTTGCTTTCTACCTCATTGCTGGGGAAGCTGTAATACATCCATGGTGCAAATTTGCTTCACAGTGGTGTTTCTGCTGCACGCCAAAGTTGGTGCTACCCACTGCTTCACGGAAGCCATAGTTTACCTGTGGAGCAGAACAGGGACTGATCCAAAGAAAACAGGAATTACTACTGTTGCAACCCTAATGTATAGGTCTTTATTTGGGTTTGTTTGTTTGTTTGTTTTATTTTTGGTTGATTGGTTGGTTGGTCTGGGTTTTCTTTCCTGAACATTGCTGGCTTGATTCACTGGTACTAGTTACTAGCCACTCCACAGTCCTGGCTGGCTGATTTCCTAATATCTGATGGAATCAAGGTAAAGGGCGATATGGAATGTTAGCAGCCCTGTATAGATGCTGGACTAAGACCATCATAACAGATCTTGCTCGTTTTTTAAAACCTGCATATCTGCACTTGTGCAAAGCAGAGTCCGGATTAGGAGCTTCTGCCCTCACCCTCTTTTCCCCTGGTAACTTCAGCAGCTGCAAGGGTTGGGAGCCTCATCTCCTCCACGGGCACCGGCGTGTGGCTGGGCTTGCAGGGACCGGCCACCAGATGACACTGTTACCCCTAAGAATTAACTAACACCCGAGCAAGTCCGTAAACTACTCCTCAGAAAGAGGGGATGAAGGAGCCTCCGGCATGCTGAGGGAAGGTGGATGCCTGAGCATCTTCGGGAGTCCGGTGCCCACTCCCTCGGCCGCTGTCACTGGGCATGGCTATCAGAAAGACAAATTTTGTGACTTATCTGCAGCAGCTGACTGCAGGTAAACTGCAGACATTGCTGTGCTTTATATACATTAGTTTTCATTTATTTACAGATGAGCCCGAACCAAAGGATAGCAAATGAGACGATGTATTTCCAACAAGTGCTGACTATTACAAACTGGTCCCTATTCCAGTTTATCCACCCAAAGTCAATCCTGCTGATTCATAAATGAAATTAGATAAGGAGTCTGGTTTGCAAATAGTGGTACAACGCTACAATTTTTCAACTCTAAAATGCTGTCTTCATCACTTTGAACTGCTGAAAATGTCACTGTAATAAAAAAGTTACTCTGCTGTCAGACTTTCTCTTTCTTTTCACAGTTTTTCCACAGCGAACAGTATGTCTCATCTGTTCCCTGGAGCAAACTGATGTTTTTCTATCATTAACTTGAGGATGGAAGAGCCGAAGACCCTCATCATTCTGCTTTTCAAAACACTCTCTTCTCCGCTGGGCTTCATCCTGCCCAGGACCAAATCCCTTTGGAGCTGAATGACTACTCACAGCTTTTGTTCTCTTGGATTTCAGGTGGCTCCTGAGACGAAAGCGGTCATGAAGTGGTTGAGGTCTATCCCGTTTGTGCTCTCTGCCAGTCTCCATGGGGGTGAACTGGTTGTGACCTATCCTTATGACTATTCAAGGCATCCTATGGAAGAAAAAATGTTCTCCCCTACACCTGATGAGAAGGTAATATTGGTTTTGTAGGGTGAGCATATCAGTATGGTTTCCATGTGTGGCACAGTGGAAACTTTTTTCTTTTAACAAGTAACAAACTTATATTTATTTGATTGTATGCATGTGTGTATATGTATGCATGTATGTACGAAAGATGTAATAAATCACATGTTTATATATATAATGCATGTATATATACATATATATAATATTATTTAT